GTGTGTGTGTGTGTGTGTGTGTGTGAGAGAGAGAGAGAGAGAGAGAGAGAGAGAGATTTCCAAGCATTTCCTTACTTTTTGGCACTGTAAGATGCTCCATGCTCATCTTGTATATTTCCTGCCCTAGTCCTAGAATCAGCCACTTATCCAAGCCATGGTTCTTTTGTTGGAGAATGATTTTAGAAACCAAGATCTTGGTGCTAGGTGTGCTAATTGCTACTGGGGTGTCATTAGTTCTAGGCCCTCTCATTCCCTCTCAGGGAGATATATGCGTGTGTATACTAACTTATGTATAAATATTTCTATATGTTATTTTTGTTATATGTTATTCAAATCTATAAACATTTCTATATGTTATCTATAAATATTTCTATATGTGACCATCTGTATCTATATCAACAGGAGTTCATACTGATGTCTCCAGCAATCAATATGAAATCCATTACCACATAGGTGATTCCAACCCCCTGTTACCTCCCACACCAACAGTGGGAACCTTGGTTCTCACCATGGTCCATCCATTCACATAATTGTTCAATTCCAGTATACGTGAGTAGCAGTATCAGAATTTCTAACCTGAAATTCCATGGGAAACAACTTTATCAACTAGAGTAGAATGCTTATGAACAGTTCCTTTAGCCTTTAGTCTTACAAATTTCATGCATTTCCAGTTACTTAGGCCAGCACTGTTCTTTCCTCTTCATCTTCAGTGAGGTTAAGACATTTGTATACAGTTAGATTGTTTTGTCACAATTCTGGATTTCATCTTGAGATTCCCCAACCTCCTCCATGATTTTTTAAAAATTTTCATATGTTAAGATTCACTCTTTGTGCTATAAAGTTCTCTGGGTTTTGACAAATGCATAATGTTATATAACCATAACTGCAGTATCATACAGAATAGTTTTATTGTCCTAAATAATCCCCTTATACAACCCTCACCCCTTTCCCCTGAACCACTGATCTTTCTACCACCTCTATAGTTTTGTCTTTTCCAGAATATCATATAATTTGAATCATATAATAATGTAGCCTTTTCGTATTGGCTTCTTTCACTTAGCAGCATGCATTTAGGATTTATCCATGTCTTTTTATTGCTTCATAGTTTATTTCTTTTTATTGCTGAATAATATTCCATTGTATGGATGGGCACAGTTTGTCAATTTACCCATTGAAGGACATCTTGGTTGCTTCTAGGTTTAGCAAGTATGAATAATGCTACTGTAAATACTCACATGAAGATTTTTGTATGAACAGTTTTCAAGTCAATAATTTAAGTTTTCAAATCAGTAAATATGTAGAAATTCGATTGCTAGATGGTATGATAAGACTATGTTAAGCTTTGTTAGAAATTTCCAAACTGTCTTCCAAAGCGGCTGTACCATTTTGCATTTCTACCAGCAATGGATGGGACTTCCTGTTGCTC